GACTGACCCGGGCTGAGGCCAGCATTGTTCCCCCTGCTCCATTCAAGAGGCAGTTTGTCAATAAAGTTGACCTCTCGACTCCTGGGGGTGCTGCCATCTCATCTTCCTCCCTTTGCTGACAGTTTGGCTGGAGCAGAGCTAACAGTCCCTCTGTGGTCCCTGTGCCCCTGGACATGCCAAGGGTGAGGGCAGAGATGGGAGCAGGAAGGCCCTGCAGCACTCATGGCAGCTTCTTCTCCCATGGTGGTTTTTTTTCTGGCTTCTGCCATTTGGGTTTTGGCACCTGAGGGCAGTTTCTGGCTGGACCCCTCGGAAACACCATCACAAGCAGCAGGTTCTGTTCGTTCTCTCCAGACCTCATTCTCCTTTCAGGGCACTCGTTCTCGTAGCTGCCTCCACAAGAATCCCATGATGGTTTTCTGCCCCTCACCACCCAGGCTGGCTTGGGATGACCTCGAGGTCCCTCCCTGTTACACAACGGACACCAAAGTCCCACGCAAGGCAGCGCCTGTCCCTACCAAGCCATGTGCACACCAGCACATCCACCCACGGCAGGCATGATCCCGCTTTCCAGGGAGGTGTGAGGCTTCCCGGTGGCTTTCGGTGGTGGGACTGTACCAGCCCCTGTGCTGGTGCACTAATTGCACTGGACAGCATTGCAAACAAGCACTGCTTGAACCCACAAGCCTGAGGAGGCCATTTCAGCTGCGAGATAAATGGATATCGTGGAGCAAGTGGCAATTAGCGTGGGTAAAGAGCCCCTTAGTGACTGTCCCTTACATAACACCTTTGTTCCAGGCCCTTCACTTCATACTCAGTTTGTAAATAAACTTGACTCCCAGCTTTACTGGGGCCTTTATTCCCTCTTTATTTTATTTTATTATTCTTTGAACCCGGGGAAGAACGAGTCAATTGTTCACCCCCAGGGACATGCAGCAATCTGAGGCCCTGCCTGGCCTGGCGGTGCCCACTCGCCCCAAAACGGGCACTGGCAGCAGCCCATGCCAGAGCCACCCACGCAGCTACCACAGCAGCGATTTTAATTGCTTTGCCCCCGCTGATGGTGCCCAGGGGCTCATTACGCCGCTGGCAATGAATGGGGGCCTGGAAACATGTTTCTGTAATTGCAGTGGCAGTGGGGACTTTCACTGGGGGGTGTGTTGGCAGGGGGGCTGAGCTCTGCCCCCAAAGTTTCGGGTCAGGGATGAAGCCTGGGGGGCTCTGGATCACTCGAAGTGCAGGGACCTTTCTCTAACTCACATCATGTCCTCCCTGTCACCATCTAACCCGTGGGAGGCTTTTCCTACACCCGTGGTGCCGCTGCAAGGCTGGCAGTGAGCAGAGGTTCCAAGGCATGGTGGGATGTGCTTTGGAGGATTTGGGGCTTTGGGTGTGGTGTGGTGAGCAGGGTTCCATGGCTCTCCTGCCTTTAGCCTTCACTTGTCACTTTAGCCAGGTCCTTTTCCAAAGGGCAGGGCTGCTTGGGGAGCTCTTGAGGTGTTCAGTGCCATGAGTGGTGGCTCTTCCTCCACTGTCACTCTCCACGGGCTCTCTCCTTGCTGCTGGTCTTTCAAAGCAGTGCTGGTGATACTGGCGCATACTGGGAACTGCTCTTTGTTCAGTGTGGGGATGGCTGGGCCCCTGCTCCTCTCCCGAGCCTTCCCTCTCCCATATGGTGCCCATTATTAGATGTGTGCACCAGCCTTGTCTGACAAGGAGCTTTACAGGTGTCGCTGGGATAACGATTCACACTCTAAGGAAGGTGGGAAAGATGATTAGCTGGCTTTCTATCAAACAGCACACGGCATCAGCTGCTCCGGGTGGTGGGGGCTGTGGATGTGTAAGGACATGTATGCCGGGAGCTCGGGGAGCCCAGGCTTTGTCCTGCTTCTAATTCCAATGGACTCTTGGGCACCTCTTTGTGTGCCTTAGTTTCCCCAGCTGTAGCAGAGGGATGTTGTTATTGCTTTGACTTGTAAAACACCCTTCGAGCAGCTGATTGTGCTCCTGCATTAGCAAGAGGTGAATTAGGCAGGTCTCTTGGCAGCTGGGCTGCCACGGAGAGGGCAAGGGGAGCTGTCAGAGCCGGGGCTCTCAGGGGACAGGGCTGGACACGGAGGACATGAATTAAACAAACCCGCTGGACACAGGCATGCGGGGCAATGTGCCTGGAGTGTGCCCTGAAGGCTGTGAGAGCCCCGTGGCATGGGGAAGGGTCTCTGGGGCCAGTGTGGCATGGGCAGGCGGGCAGGGCTTGCTCCACGCGGATGTGTCCGTGTCCTGCCCTGCCTACTTTGTGTCTGTGTTTTTGTCCTGCTGGTGTATTTTAAATAAAGACTCATTTTAGCAGGCAGATCCCGGCACCCCTGAGCCTGACACGGACACACTGCACACCCAACCCCTGCGAGCTGGTGGAATATCTTCAGCTCTTTCCACACCTTGAATACTGTTGGAGAGAGAGGCAAAATGGGAAAACGGGAGTAAAATGAGCTGTTCTCGGCTGTCCTTTGCTCCAGTGCAGGGAAAGCTGTTCTGTCTCCCGTTACGTCTCCCCAGGTCAGGCTACGATCCGGAGGTGAGCCCTGCCTTGAGAAGTGACGGAGCAGAGGGGCTCCCTGCAGGGCTGGGGAAACTGAGGCACGAGCGGAGTCTGGCACCCAAACCACCCCCGAGGCAGCGGAGGTGTGAATGGGGTGCTCGCCCAAGCTCCTCGTGCTCGGTCGGGGTGCGATCCTCACCCCGACACCGCCGCGACCCTCCCGTCCCGGGACGGCCCCGGGCGCTGCGGGCAGAGCCGGCGCTGCCTCTCCCCGAGGCCGGGGCCGGCGGGATTATCTGCTTAGCTGCACCATCTGTTCCTCAAACTGCCATCATTATGTTCAACTTGGGAAGAAAACGGCCCCTACAGAGAAGCAATTTGTTCGCTGACTAAACCTTTCAGGCTCTCGCCTTCCCCGGCTCCCGCCGCCGCCGCACGGAGAGCTCCGCGCTCGGGGCCGCGCTTAAACAACCGCGGGCCGGGCACGCCGGGAACGGGCGTGGGGAGGGCGCAGGGCTCCCCTAATCCCATTACAAAACATAACAGCCTTTCAGAGGGGCCGGGGGCCGGGCGAGGGGAGGAGGAGGGAGGTCCATTTCACACCCGACCCCGACGTCTGGGGGTCTCGCAATGATCTCACTGGAGGGGCTTTTCTTCCCGTCGCAGTGGGTTGCTTTAGAAATGTGCTGCGAGGAGATCAGAAAGGAGAAGGGGGCTTCCTGGGAAAGAGGAGGAGAGGGCTGGGAAGGAGATGAGGTGGGAGGAGGTGGCGTGGGGCTGGGGTGAGCCCTGCACCTCGGGCTAAGGGTGACAACTGGAGCCCAGCACCTCCTTGCTGGGGCACCAGCCCTCGTGCCCCTTCTCCCTCTTGCATCCTTCCTCTCCCTCTTGCATCCTTCCTCTTCCTCTTGCATCTTTCCTCTCCCTCTTGCATCCCTCCTCTCCCTCTAGCATGTTACACGGACATGGGTACAGGGATGTGTCCTCCCCTGCTGCCTGAGTGGGGAGTGGGGCTGCAGTCCCTGCAGAAGCCTCCCCCAGTGCCTGCAGAGACAGGTGACCCACTTCCCTGTGTTTTGTCACGGAATTTCAGTGACACCAAAGCATTTAATGTGCTGATTTCACCAGTTTTCTGTGATGGACAATGAAAGTGGGAAAAGTTAAGTTAGACAGTTTGACTTATACAAAAGCAAGAAGTTTTGACTTAATGCTGTGTTTTAAAGTGACGTTTTATGATCACCTGCAAACAGGTGTTTTTCATTAACTATTTGCATTTTTTTGTTCAGTCAATTAAAGGAAACCTGTGTCCTTCAACAGCAGCAGATATCAGAACAAGAGGGTCCCACCTGTGGCTACTTTAGTTGGGAGGCAAAGCATTTGCCCCAAACTTTGCTGTGCTGGCCCTGCACCCCTGTCCCCTCTGTGTGGGGTAGGGCTGTGGTCCCCTCCTCAGGGGTGGTGGCACACCTGTGCCTGCAGGAACCCCACATGGTGGGTGCTGGAGTCTGGCAGCCACCCCAGACTCATGGGAAATGGGACCCCAAGGTGTCCCCCCCACCGGGGACCCCCATCACATCTTCCATGGCCCCTCTAGGAGTCCTCTGGGGCTGTGCCCCTGCTCCAGTTGCTGCAGGACCCTCTGTGGGTTCATTCGAGGTGAACACCACATTCCCAGGGTGTTCCCATCTGCTCCCAGGCGGGGTGACAGCCTCTTTGTGGGGAGCAGTGGGGCCCTGTTTCTGGGGATCTTGGGGCTGCAATGCCAATGGTGCTGGGGACCCCGGTGTCACCCTGCTCCTGCCCCTGGGTGCTGCCTGCTCGGGCTGTCCCACGCTCCAGCGACTGCACCATCCTCAGGCGGATGGGGCAACCCACGAAACCCAACAAATGGGCATCAGTGTTTGGGGTGCAGGGGAAACTGAGGGGCTTTGCCTTCCTCACTGGATGACACCCAAAGGAAACAGCCAGCAGAGCTGGGTAGGTGCCATGAAATTCAGAGGCAAATCCTGAAGCTACAAAAAAATACATATATTTTAATTGTCGTGTACAAAAGTGTCTGTACAAAGTCTGCTGCTTTCTGTTCAGCCTCCTGTGCCCATTTCCCAGCAGTCATCCCTCCTCCCCTCATTGCCTTCCTTCAGAGAGCAGCTGATGGGGAAATTAAGCAAGGAGCAGAGAGGGGAAGTGGCTGAGCCAAGCCTGGACACCCCGAGGTGACCCTGGGAGCAAAAGTTGCTACCACAACAAGCACTGGGATACTGCAGCACCTCTTCACCCTGCAAAGGCCTGTGGACACCCAGCTATTCCCAAAACGTTTGGGACCAGGAGCTGGCTCCCGCATGGGAACAAGCATGACCGTCTCCAGAGCAGGCTGCTGGGAAGTTCAGGCTGCCAGAAGCCAGCTGGCACTGGCAATGACAGACCACTGGTGGTGCGGGAACTCACTGGGGATTCGGGGTCATTACACCAAGGTGCTGATGCCCAGCTCCTTCCTGCTTGCCCTGTGCTCACATCCTTCCTCAGCCACCTGCAGCAGAGACATGGGCAGGGGCAGAAATGGGTGCTACTCCAGGCAGGGTGGGGGCAGGAGAAAATGGCCTCGAGTTGCACTAGGAAGGTTTAGATGGAATATTGGGGGAAATTCTTTCACTGGAAGAGTTGTCCAGCTCTGGCACAGGCTGCCCAGGGGAGTGCTAAAGTCACCATCCCTGGAGGGATTCAACAGACTGGTGGATGTGGCCCTTGGGGACATGGTTTAGTGGTGGCCTTGGCAGTAGTTGAATGGTTGGACCTGGTGCTTTTAGAGGGCTTTTCCAACCTAAAATGAGTCAGGGATTCTGGTCCATGACCAGGGGCATTTACTGCAGCTCTCCTGCCCTAAACGCTGCTGCAAGAGGAGGGAGGGTACCAACAGCTGGGGGGAAATATCCAACCTCTGCTGCTGCCTGAGACCCATAAACCCCTTTTTACCAACAATTCCCCAGCTTTACCTCCCATAAGACGGTGTTTTCCATGTACTGCGCGTCCGGGGAACACCTCAGCACCTTGATTTTCAGGACGGCACCTGAGGACGCCGAAGCCGGGCGAGGGCGTCTGAGAGCGGGGCGGCCGCTGCCCGGGCTTCCCCTGACATCTAGCGGCAGCGGCGGGCGGGCAGCGGGGACCGGGGGAAACGGGGAGCGGGGGAAACGGGGACCGGGGGGAGCAGGGACCGGGGGGGTACAGACCGGGGGAAACGGGGAGCCGGCACCGGGGGAGCCCAGACCCGGGCAGGGAGCCGGGACCGGGAGGAGCACGGACTCGAGGGAGCCCAGCCCGAGAGGAGTAAAACCCGGTGGATAGCCCCGACCTCCGCTGGGTTTGCACAGTGCTAAGCACCACTGGGCTCTGCCCGGCCTGCCTGATGGGGATGCTTTGCTCTGGGGCTGCTCCTGCCCTTTCTCCCAAACCCGTCAATCCCCCTGCCCCTCGCACCCTCCAGCCCATTGCACTGGAGCAGAACTCACCTGTGAGGCAGCCCCCGAGCGCTGCAAGCAGCAGGGTGAGGGGCAGGGCACCGAGCTGGATGAACGCTTGGTCAGTGACTGTCCGGCTGCCCTGGGCCACCAGTGGGAATACAAGCTCCAGCCTGCAAGCCAGAGAGGATAGGTTTTTGGGCTTTTAGGCGTTGTTTGGGTTCATGGCTCTAGGTAATGTCTTCTAAAGGGGTGCTGTAACAGGGTGAGTGGAGCAGTCCCGACCTCAGGGGTTGTGGTGGCCCCAGCTTGGTGCATGGAGTCACTGGCATCCCTGATTCTGGCTCCTCTCACCTGTCACCATAAGTGTCTGCAGTGGCCAGCAGCGTCAGCAGGGTCCCCAGCAAGGCCCCCAGTATCCCAGGCAGCCCGTGGATGTTGTGAACCCCCCACGTGTCCTGGATTTTCAACCTGGAGTGTAGAACAGGCTGGGGAGAGCACAAGGAAGAGCTGGGATGGGCGATGGGGGTCAGTTGCCCAGGGAGGCTGTGCTGCAGCCCCGTGCTTGCAGGTTCGGGAGCAGATGATCCCCTGACCTGGGATCAGCGTCCTTGGCTGTCCCCAGGGGACTCACCGTGAAGAATCTGAAGCCAAGTGGGGAGATCAGACCAACCAGAAACCCTGCGATGAGGGCCCCGAAGGGGGTGACCAGCATCTCCCCAGCCATACCCATCACAGCCATGCCAGCCAGCGTGGCATCCTGGATCTGAACCTGATGGAACAGGACATGGTCAGGGAAACTGGCTCCAAGGAGAGCATCAGCATGGGACTGGGAAGAGGGGTTGTCTTCCTCAGGGATTTAATTGGTTCCTAATGAACCTAAGAAAGCCTAACAGGCCTCCCCTTCTGCCCTGGGTGTGTTTGGGCTTACCATTCCTGTGGGACAGGATGTGGGCAGGGCATGAAGCTTGGGTTTGTCCCAGGAGAGGACCTACCATCCGTGGGGTGCTCTCCTCGTAGAGGACAGGAGAGAGGATGAAGGTGGCAATGGTACTTGCCACCAGTGACAAGTAGGAGTTGAGCACTGCCCAGTTCTCAGCATTATCATGGGCAGTGGTGGCAGAGGTGAAGCTGGGCCAGAAGATCCACAGGTAGATGGTTCCTGCAGGGAATAGAACAGGCAGCTCTTGGTGCTGGAGTTGACCCTTTGTGGGACAGAAACTTCTTGCAAGTGCCAAGAGATGCAAGTGGCCACAGCTTTTGGCTGTGAAAAAGGAAAAGCTTTTTCTAGGAGAGGGTGGTGCAGCCACACAGCAGGTCCCTGGGGAGGTGGAGGACCTCCTTGGTGGTTTGCAGGATTGTCCTGGTCAAAGCCACAGCCTCCCTGTCCTCGTATTGGTTACAATCCTTCCAGCACCAGCTCTGTGACTCAAGTGTTGTAGGATTCGAGCTCCATACCAACCACAGCAAAGACATCCGTCTGCTGCCCCATGTCCTGCCGCTCTTCCCTCTTCCTCTTGTCCCTGCAGGGCTGGTACAAGACCCGTGAAACCACCAAGCCGAAATAAGCACCAAAGGTGTGGACGGTCAAGGAGCGTCCACTGTCGCTTACCTGGTGAGTACGGAAAAGCACCGTGCAGGAAGTGGGGATGAGGGATTTGTCTCTCCAGACAAGGCAGAACTTGACATGAGGAGCCTAAAGCCAGGGCCACTCCCTTTCTGGTGGCTCCCCAGTCGGTGACTCACCCCCATGAGACTGAGCAGGATGTATTCATTGAGAGTGCACAGGGTGACTTCCAGCAGGGCCAGCAGCAGCATCTGGACAGGGTTTACCCTGCCTAGAACAGCTCCAGTGGAGATCAGAACAGCTGCGGTGCAGAAGTCAGCACTGACCATGCTGGGAAGGAGAGGAAAGGTGTGGGACTGGACCTGGCACTGCCAGGGATGAGCACAGGGGTTGGGGAGAGCTGGGTGGGATCAGGAGAGGAGCCTGCAGCACAGGCCCTGCATCCCACTGCTCCTGCAAGCTGAACAGGCAGAGCCTTGTGATGCTGGTGACAAAGGGATGGCTGGGCTTGAGGCAGGTGGTGGCCAGAGTGCCCCCCAAAATGCCTGGCTGCAGCCTTGGCAGTACTTACACAGCCCTTGCTAGGGCGGTACTCAACCAACCCAGAGGCCTGGTCCCACTTGTCTTCAAAACCCTCCTCCAAAGCAGAGCCGTGATTTTACAGAGGAGGGAGCCAGTGTGCCAGGGCTGGGCTGGGATGAGCTGTCTGGGCAGCAGCAGCTCCCTCCTGCCTTACCTCGGAGCTCCCACGTAAATTTTACCATTGAGGAAGAAGTAAAAAAATCCCTGGATCAGAAGAGCCCACTGGATGGTGAAGGCTATGATGAGAATGCTGATGGCTGCACTGCCTGGCCCATAGCGGCTGAGGAATGCCACCAGGAGCCCAAAGCTGAGGAGCACTTGGATGTGGACATCCTGGAAACCTGGTGGAGGACAAGCACAAGGGTGGGTCTGAGATGCCAGCACCCGTGGGACCTTGCTGCTGCCCCTGAAAGCATCACGTCCCAATTCATGGGATGAGGAGAGAGGAAGGATGAGAAAATAATTTGGGTTAGTTTGGTACCATTTGGTGGCAAACTGGAGGATGAGGGGCTTGATTCTTGCTTGGGCTAAATGTCCTTTGCACCCACAGCTGACAGCTGTGGCCCAGCCTTCTCCATGAGTCACTGCCTGGGTGGGGTTATGTGGGCAGGTGAAACTGGGAGAACCTGCCAGCTGCCAGCTCCCTGCCCAGCGGCTCCATCGCTCCCCTCTCTCTGCCAGGGCACTCTGAAGCTCCTCTCCCACTGACTGCCTTGTCTCTGGCTCAGAAAAGCGAGGGGCAGCCCCTTACCCTGGCAGTTCTGCAGTGATGCCCAGCATGCAGTAGGATGCTCCTGGCAGGGCAGACCCCCAGCCTCCCTTGGGACCCTCTGGTAGCACCCAGGGACACAAATCCTCTGTGGAGGGGGCTTGGTGTAAATCCCCCGGCACTGCAGAACCCAGCCTGTCACTGGAGAGCTTTGCAGACCCTAAAGTGCCAGGAGAAGTTGCTGTGCTCCCTACCAGGCATGGGACGATGATCCCTAGCTTTTCACTGCTCTCAGTGCTCCTCCTGGAGCTCCACTGCTATAACACATGTCCTAGACCCAAATGTCCCTCTCTTGGAGCTGGCTCTGTCCAAGTATCTCAGAAATCCTTGCAGCACATCTGCTTTACCCCCTCTGGGATGCACCAGTCCCCCAACCCTGCAGCTGGAAGTTCCCTCTCTGTTTCAGTCTGGAGCCTGTGACAGGTCTGCAGCCTGAACTGAGCACGGTGGCACCCCGTGCCATCCCCTCAGCAGAACAGCTCTCGTGCACCCACGGCCGTGGGGGTACTCACGGTGCTGCTGGAAAGCCGAGTCCTGGTTTCTCTGGCTGCAGTTCAGCTGCGGGGGGCACAGGCCGGGGCTGCTCTCGGGGCTGTACCGGACAAACACGGCGAAGAGGAGGATGTTGAGGATTTGGAGGAGGAAGCACAGCCCGGAGAGCCGGAGCCTCGAGGCAGCTGTGTGCTCAGGCATGTTGGGGGACAGCCAGGGCAGGTGAACCCCTGTAAACGGGGTGCATGAGGAGAGCCACGCTGGGACTGCAAACTCCTCCTGCCAGTGTGGCTGCCAGGTCCTGCCCTCGTCTCCTGCACCTCGAAGGGAGTGCCGGGAGCGGGACAGCGCTGCCAACACGGAAACTCGGCACTGGATGCCCTGGCACGCCTCCATACCTGGCTGTGCCGTATCAGGTGGCTCCGGCCACTGTGCTGGGAAGTGTGTGGGGTCAGTGTCCCTCTCTGCTGGGTGCAGGAGGGGCAGGGGGAGGATTTGGGCTGGGGCAGGAGCTGTGGGTGGGGTTTCAGCCCCTGCGTTGTAGGAGCACGGTGTTTTTGGGGACCGGTCAGGCAGAGGAGGCGGAGGGTGATGCACCCGCTGTGGAGGTGCTGGCTCAGCAAAGTCCCACAAAGCTAGGCTCAAATTCCCTGGTCAGAAGCTAAAACGAGTGCTCAGGGGGCTTTGAGGACGAGGTTTCCTGTGGGCCCGTGAGGGGAGAAGGAGAATCTGAGCCTTGAAAAACAAGGGCAAGGAGCAGAGTCAGAGGCTCCTGATAGAGCCCATGCCAGGAGCTGGGGGAGCTGAGCACGAGGAGTTCCTTGGCTTTTCTTTCGCTGTCTCTGCTTCTGCAGAGGTGTTTGTATTGCACCAAGAGTGGGTGCAGATCCCAAAAAGGGAGAAAAAGAGACAAGGAGCAGAGAAGTAACACAGTGTGTGTTTGGGAAATGACTTGGGTGACTCCTTTCCACAGCTCTGGGCCCAACTCTGAACTCAGTGGTGGGCTGGGGTCATGGCCTGATCCCAACAGGATGGGGAAGGGGGATGAGTCACTTGTAGGAGCCCCTGCAAGTGTTCTGCTTCGGGCTGTGGTTTTGTGAGTGCTGGGGACTGTAGCTGGTGCCTTCACTTGGGAAAAAATGTGAGAAATGCTCAGCTCATTTGTGGTACCACAGCTGGGAATCAGCATCCTCCAGGCCAGAAGCCCAGAGCTGCTGCTGGGGGAGAACAGGATCTGTGGATCTGTGGGCACAGGAGGTGTGAGGGAGGGAGATGACAGACTCTCTGAAGAGCCATGGACCCAGCTGATAACTGTGGGGAGCTGCAAGGGAGGAGCTTGCAGTGCTGCTGCTCCAGTTCAGCCTCCCTCAGCCCTGGGAGAGCAAAGCTACAGGCACCTTTTCCTCTTTACAGTGAACCAAAGCTCTGACCATTCTGAGCTGGGAGAAGGCTTCCAGTTCATCCTGCTAGCATCAAAAATGATGCCCCTCCTTGAAAAGAGGCTGGAAGCAGTGGGGAGCAGGTGGGGGACAAGGGCCTGGGGACTTAACATGCACCTTGATGCCTTTTCTGGTGGGGGCAGCTGTTTGCTGTGCTGTGTGTGCCATGGTGAGGCCGGGGTGATGCTGGGGACAGGCGCTGCTTGTCCTCTGCTTCCTTTGAGAAGAGCTTCCTCCAGCCCTGGAGATGGACCCTGGGGGAGGGAGAAGTTGCTGGAGCTCAGAACACAGCCCCATTGTGTGCCTGTGTTTTGCTCCCGGCAGCGTCCTGGCCCGAGGTGATGATGGGGAAGCCTCTCCGATGCCTTTTCGGAGGGCAGGATAACTCCACTGCGACTCCATCCCTTGTACAACCCTCTAGAGCCTCAAGGGATGGGAACATCATCCCTTCATCAGGGACAGGGAGAGGGGGATAAAGTTAACCATTGCCCTGCTGCCTGTGGGATCAGAGAGCACCGTCCCAGCACAGGGGGCCGATGCTGAGGGGGGGCTTTTCCAGCCCAAGAGGCTGCTGGAGCCCAATGCAGAACTGTCCTTTTCCCTGGATTCCCAAAGCTGTGGCCTGCAGATAAAGGGATGTTTGTTAGCTGGGCACACTGTGTTTTGCCGAGCAGAACAATAAAGAGAAAGACACTCACAATGGGAAATTGTGCTTCCTCCTCCCTGTGTGCTCCTCGGGGAGGTGTTGGAGAGGGAAAAAAAAGAGAAGAAAGCGAGAAGAGACGGTGACAGGGCAGGGAGCAAAGGCACGGCCGGCACCATGGGAGTGGGCATCAAGGGCCCGCGGGGCCACAGGGCTGCCAGGACACTGCCCGCCCCAGGACGGTGACGGGGTGGCTGGGAGCACCTGCTCGCCACCTCCCGTGTCCCCGTGTCCCCGTGTCACCTCTTCCCAGGAGCCTCGTGGCGTAGGTCCGGCCTTCCCAGCACCCTCGGCCCCACCATGGGGTGTTCATGACGGAGACGGGAAGCAGCAGGAGCTGGGGCAGCACGCGGGCTGGGATGGGCATTGCGGCTCCCCGAAGGACACGTCTGGGGACGGTAAGAGACCGGGGGGTGCCAGGAAGGAGGGTTGGCACAGTCTGTGGGGTCGGTGTCCTGCAAGCAATGTCCCCTCTGCACAGTAAATGTCAGAGAGCCCCCGCAGGGCAGGGCCACATCCTCCAGGCCCCACCAAAGCTGGGCTGTGTCCCACTGCGTGTCCCTGACCCCTGCGATCCCCCCAGGCACCATCCTGCCCCCGGCTCTAAGGATGCACAGGCTGCTCCTGCTCGGCTGCCTCTGGCTCCTGGCAGCACCCCCAGCGTCCAGCATCTTCCAGCGGCCGACGGGGACCCCAGGTAGGGAGCAGGGCCTGGCAGGAGGACAGGGAGCCTGGGTGAGGATCAGGGCCTGGGGGACAGGGTGTGGAGCCTGTGTAGGGAGCAGGGCCTACAGGGAGGACTGGGCACTGCTGTTTGGAGTCGGTGCTGGAGAGGGAAGGTGAAGCTGGGCGGGTCCAGCCGGGGCAGGCGCTGAGCTGTGCCTCCTGAAGGTGCAGGAGAGATGAAGAGGAGCCAGGATGGGTGAGAGAAACCATTAGATGCCGGAGAGGATTGAGGGGTGCTCAGGGAGGTGTCAGAGGAACGGTGGCTGGTCAGTGCTGAGGCTGCCTGGGGGCTGCAGCCCCACCACGCCTGCAGTACCTGCTGGAGCCCCTCCACCCCACGGTGCACACGAGGCGTGGTGCCACGGCCACCCTGCCCTGCGTCCTGCGCGCCCTGCCCCACAACTACCGCGTCAAGTGGAGCAAGGTGGAGCCGGCCAACTACCGGGAGAACATCATCATCATCACCAATGGGCTGTACCACAAGAACTACGGGCCGCTGAGCCCGCGGGTGCGCCTGCGGCACAGCCACCGCTACGACGCCTCGCTCACCATCACCGATGTGGCCCTGGAGGACGAGGGGCGGTACCGCTGCCAGCTTGTCAACGGGCTGGAGGATGAGAGCATCTCGCTCATGCTGCACCTTGAGGGTGAGGCTGGCCTACATCTCTGGGGGGTGTGGCAGGAGGGGGACCCTGGAATGGAGGTGTGTGGCTCTCTGTCTCCACCCATGTCCCGCATTGCGTCGCCCCGTTCCCCAGCCTTAAATTCAGCACTGAATCCCCAGGGATGTTAAGTCAAAGCCTGCCTGGGAAGAGCGTTGCCCTCAACCTGTCCCTGTCCCTCTAGGCGTCGTCTTCCCTTACCAGCCCAGCAATGGGCGCTACAAATTCAACTACCACGAAGCCAAGAGAGCCTGCGAGCAGCAGGACTCGCGTCTCGCCACCTACCAGCAGCTGTACAAAGGTGAAGCATTCAAAAAAAGCTCCTTTTCAGCCCTAAACCACCTCATCCAGCTGTGGGGAGGAGGGAGGTGCTGGTGCTGAGCCACCTCTCTCCCCACAGCCTGGACAGAGGGTCTGGACTGGTGCAACGCTGGCTGGATCCTTGACGGGACCGTCCACTACCCCATCATCAACTCGCGGGAGCCGTGTGGTGGCCGCCTCCTCCTGCCCGGTGTCCGGACCTATGGCATCAGGGACAAGCAGAAGGACCGATTCGATGCTTTCTGCTTCACCTCTGCTCTCCAAGGTAGCGCTGCAGTCCCCTGTCCTCCTCACAGCGTCACCAAGCCCTGCTGCCCACCTGGATTTGCAGCGGGGCTGGGGTTGTTTGCAGGAAGGTGCTCACCCGCCGTGTCCCCCTTCCATCCCCAGGCCAGGTCTACTTCATCCGGGGCCACCTGAACTTCAAGGAGGCTGGGCAGGCGTGTCGCAACCACGGGGCTGCCATTGCCAAAGTGGGACAGCTCTACTCGGCCTGGAAGTTTTCACAGCTGGATCGCTGTGACGGGGGGTGGCTGGCGGACGGCAGCGTCCGGTACCCCATCACCACCCCCCGCGAGCGCTGCGGGGGGCTCCCCGACCCTGGCGTCCGCAGCTTCGGCTTCCCCAGCAAGGAGATGAGGACCTACGGCGCCTATTGCTTCGTAGGGAAGTAAGGACACTGGGAGGAGAGGGGGGCTGAGCAGAGGGGGACAGCAGTGGGACACCAGTCCTCATCAGCTGGGCAGAGGCTTGAGGCAGGGTAGGAGGGGTGGTCTCCCAGCGATTTCGGGTGGTTTGGGCAGCCTCTGGTTAAGTGGTGGAGCTGGATGTGGGTTCTTGGTGCGTCCCCCGATGGAGTGCCCGTGTCCCAGCCTGCTGTGAGGCTTGTGGGGTGTTTGGAATGTACTGGAGAAGCCAGACCCACTGCTGGACCAGGAAGGGGGGTCTAATCCAGGCCCCCAGCAGACGGCACAGGCTGCCCATTCCCCAACCCTGGTGAATCCCTCGCCCCACCCTCACTCCCCACAGCCGTGAGGACTATGGCTGATGACTCTGGCTGCTGCAAGTGCAGAGGACTCGGGCTGGGCATTAACGAGTGTGACTAATGGCGTGTTGCCTTTTCAATTAATAAAGCAACAGCAAAACTGTGTGGCAAAGGCACACGCTTGCCTGGCTCCTTCCCCTGGGGCTGTCTGGCCTCTCCATGAGGGGAATTTGACAGGGACTTTCCATCCCCAGTGCCATGTCCAGGGGTTATCTGTGTTCTGGTCACTTCACTTCAGGGTTTTATGGGTGTTGCTGTTCATCACAGCCAGGAGAACTATAAAAAGCTGTGGATCTGGCACAGTGCAGGGGGAATAACAGCATGGGGAGATACCCTGACACTGGTGATGCTCTCCCATTCCCATATATTTGCTGGGAGCAGTGTCCCCTCCTGAGCCCTGACCAGTACCCAGCACTGCTGGGATGTGGGGGCACTTTGGGTTGTGTGCCCCTGTTTCTGTGCCTAGGCTCTCCACTGCTGCCACGCTCCTTGCTCAGGGGCTGTACAGCCCTGCCAGTCCCACCCCTGTGCCAGACCCCCCCAAATAACCAGGTCACCACTCTGTGCTACCTGTTTACTGGTTTTAATGGTTTTAATACCCACAGAAGCACAGAGAGGGGGGTTGGCACCATGCACCCACTCCAAGCCTGCCACAGCAGCTTCTGCCTTTCCAGGGAAGTGCAGAAGCCCCTCCACAGCTCAGGATGGGTGCTGAGCTGCAGCAGAGCTTGGCTGTCCCCATGTCAATCCCCACCAGGGAGTCACAGGATGAGGACCCTTGGGGTAGAGGTGGGAGGAAATGGCTGGAGTGATGCTGGCACGTCACTGCCATCCCCTGCCCATGATGTCCCCCCTGGATTTCAATTCTGTTGTGACTCCGGGAACAAAACTCCTGTTGTGCTGCATTTTGGGTCACCGTCGGTTCCTTTCAAGGGGGTCTTTAATTATTAGGATTTCTTTGTACAGATATAAAACAAACAAGGGGGCAGACACCTGACAGTGAGGTTTCACTCCACGTCGGGGTCTGCGCCGGGGTCTCAGTGCCGTCCCCATCCACAGCGGCTCCAGGGCTTGGGGAGGCGGTGGCTGCTGCCCCAGGGACTCACTCAGTTGTTGGGGGGCTGAGCCAGGCCTGGGGGGACACAAGAAGTCCCAGCTGAAAGGAAAGCGCCACGGGCAGGCTCTGGGGGGTCAGGATGTCACTCACCAGGGCGACAGGCCAGCTGGGGTGGCTCCCACGTGCCGTCCTGGCGGCAGCGGATGATGGGCGAGCGGCGCGGGGCGAAGCCGTGCCGGCACTGGTACCGTGTGATGGAGCCCACCTCGTAGCGCTGCTTTGGTTTGCCAAAGGCACGGGCATTGCTGAGGGCGGGGGGGGGCCCGCACTGCACTGCGGGGGGGGCAGCTCATTGCAGTCAGCCCTGGAGGGCCCCCCCAGCCCGGAGCAATCCCCCTAAAGCCCAAACAGGCTGAGGGTCCCGCGCACAGGACTCGTTTCCCTGCTCTGGAGGTGGTGGGGGGTGCAGCCCCAGCCCCCCGGCCTTGGTGGGGGGGAGGCACGGCTTACCCAGCCCCATTTTGCAGGTGTAGGACAGGTGGTAGTTGCAGGGCACGTCGCTCCACTGGCCCCCATCGTGCCACACGATGACCACGCAGTTCTCCCCGGAGAGGAAGTAGCTGTCGGGCTGCCCGGGGTGCCAGTTCTCGTAGAGCTGGGGGGACAGGCGGGACGGGGTGCACGGGGCATCCCAGCGCACCCCTTAGGTGCGGGGGTGGCCCTGCACCAGCACGCACCCATCTGCAGCCTCCTGGCTGGGACATCCCCGTCAGGAATGGGGTCCCACCTCCGTGCCCCTCAGCATGGCCTCGGGACCCCAAATCCCAGGGTCTGGCTCTCCCGAGGATGCTCAGCCCCGGTGAGGCAAGTGGCTCTTGTTTGGGAGCTTTAAAGCCCAGCCCCGGGGCTGGAGAAGGATAACGAGGGGCAGGGCAGGGTGGTCTCCCCCCACGAGGGTACACAAGGGCTGGCAGCCCCGCTTACCAAGGGGCTCCCGTCAGACCACTGGAAATCCCCCTCGATGGTCCGGTCGTTCAGGCCGATCCACTGGTATTCCCTGTACTGGTCTGGGGGACACGGGGTGTGTTGGAGACAGGGACACATCCAAGTGCCACCAGTCAGGAGAGGGCTACAGGCTGAGTTCAGGGGGATTGGGGATCTGGGGGTGACTGGGAGGTGGGGGTGTCTCTAGCCCTGCACCGGGAAGGTGCTGGGAAGACTGGGGAGAAGGGGACCCCCAAAAGGGACATCGGAGGACTCCTTTACCCCTCAGCCCCGGGAGGCGGGACAGGGCCGGCCGGGAGAGGGCGGCAGAGCCCCGGGACCCGCCTGTCCCCGCCTGTCCCACCTGGTCCCCACCTGTCCCCACCCCTCCCCACCTGTCCCC